CTCATAGAAAAGGTCCTCTATATATTGGTAACGAATCAAATATATCTTTCCTACCTCTTCTCGTCTGACTTCTGATTTCTATCTGACTGGGAAAGATCGAACATAGAAGGTGCTACTGGTATCCAGTTGTAGAACTAGAATATCCGTTGCATCCGCAATATCAACAGCTGCGAAGAAACCACTCTTCCTGAAACTACAATTCAACGGCGATTTAGCTGATGATGTACTACGGGATAGACTGACTAAAGCAGTTAAGAGAACGTTTATTGCTGTCAACCTCTTTCCTTCTTACTCGACACGATCTATGGTGATTCCCCAACTAAAGGATAAGTTGCCTGGTTATGCCAATTCTATGTGTATCGATAAATTCAGCTGCTCCTGTGGAGAAAGCTATATTGGCGCACTACCAGACAACTGAACCAGAGTTAGTGAACACTTCCCTTCGTGGTTAGGAAAAGGTATGGTCAAGTCGATATGGAGCTCGATTCTTTCACACTTGATTGATAGCGATTATGAAGTTGACAGAAACCAGTTTTTTAAAGTTATTTATCGTATTTCTACTACTTTTCCTTATGGGATTCGATCTCGTCTCCTACACATAGCAGAAGCTATAGGAATTCGATCCAACAACTCAAGTCTTTGTGTTCATAAGAAACTTGTAAAACCCTTATCCCTCCCTTGGCCTTAATAAATAATTTTATTTTCCATACTCTTTCTTCGTTTATTTTTCTTCACCCCCCATCAATTATTTACTAATAATTTTTCTAATATTCGCTTCACCGTTCAATTATCTAAACACTTCTTATTACGTAATCTTATAATTTCTATGATTGTTATTTCAGTGTCTATATTCTTTTTTCTAATCATTGACCTATTTCCCTTATTATGTAACATTGATTCAAGCCTTTTATTATGCTTATCACAACTAGTACACCTGTCACATCACACTATCAATTTGTACTTTCTACTTAATATGTAATCTATTCCGCTGTTATCATTGACTCATAAACTGCCTTGATTGGTTTAATAATTTCGTATATGCATATAAATATTACTGTATATTAGAGTAAAGCCTGATGAGGATCTAATCGAAAACAATATTGTTCGCTTATATATGCTGTTGAAACTGACATTGTCACAGCATCTTCACTGTTTGTTAACGAGTTGCTTTCTTCTATAATTCGCCAATATTTACACTTATGTCAAGATTCTGTTTCAATGTTAGATATACATTAGTGTTGTACTCCACTAAAAATGTTCTTGAGTATCAAACATATACTGCTCCCCTGTTCTCTACTTGAATTTCGTTGCTGATAAGGTCATTGTAGTTCCAAATACAAACACTCACACACATATAGATCGGAAGTATTTCTTTGATCGTATTATCTTTTGTTATTTAGATTTACTTAATGGATCATGCTTAACAAAAAAACAAAACCAGACTAGTTCTATCTAGACTATGCCAATCTTCTGTCTGACAAACACTGATATGTTCAAAATATTCTACAAAAGTCTATAAAGAAGGATAATTAGACTGAAGAAATATTTCTTCTTACCAATTAGTTGTTCATTAGGGCTCTATTCAAATAGTTGGGTTGTACAAGTGGATAGTAAGTCGAGACCATTTAGATGATGGTGAGCCAAGTTAACAATGACATTGCCAATTGGTATCAACATTTGAAAAAATTCAAATCATAACTGAAGTGAGTTTCCACAATCGGCTACTTAATTACCACAACTAGTTACATAAGAGGAACAATGAGAATGGCAATTACCTATAAATATACGATGTTTCTGTTGCCAATGGAAGTATTGATTCGATTTCAGTAGGATTTGTGCAATAAAAATAGACAATGAGATTCAAGATATCAATGCCATGGTTGGATGCGATAGTTTCAAATAAATGAAGTATTGGGTAGAAAGTTAGTAACGGAATTCAGTTATTTGTTCATGTTGAAGAAGTGGCTTACACTGAAACAACAAACGTTAAGTTATACCTTCCTGTAATCATTGAGATATAACAAAGCGTATACTCACTATTAGACAACAGGATTATCAAACAGGTTGAACACAATTAGAATTAGAAACTAATATGCTAACGAAATAGAATTGTGCAAGATTTTAAAAGAGAAGGAAACGTTTTCAAAGATGTGATGGTACTTAGTGGGAATCTCAGAGTAAATTCAACGGCTGTATAAACTTCTCCACTTTACTGGCATTAGGTGTTATGTTGTGTATTCCTATGGCTTCTAAAATATGTAACAGTTGGATTCGGGAACCATAGGGTAAATTCTGTGATAATGACCTGACACATAATATTGATCACCATCCACTAACCAATCAATTGTGGTTAGGAGTTGATTTTCTGTTGACCACGAATATTTGAAATTCTCTTGGTTATTTGACCCAACTTAAACTAAAACCCAGTTTTGTAACCCACCTTATTGCTGATAATCATAAGCCAACATCTTCGGCTTTTGTTTAGCCGCCTAAACTATAAGCTTAACCCATACTCCTTCACAGTAATTAGATGTTTAGTTATCTCCATATTGCAAATCGATGAAACAGATCCTTTAATATGCTTGTTTTCAACTCACGCTTATAGAGAAAAGTAAGTTCTCCGGTATATATTAGAAGCAAGTATATTTGGCCGGTAAGTTCTCTATAATGAAAATGTAGACACTGAGACACTTTAGTGTTTTTTTCTAATTGGTTTTATTGCTCTTTCAGCCAACATGGGATTTCGCTTGTAACCCAAACTTTATATCGCAAATATTCTACAACGAACTCTGAAGTTTTATATAGATCTGAATCTTACATATACCTGGAGTTTCAATCTACGTACATATGTTATGCAGTCATCGGTGATTTTATTGATATGCTCACTAGATTTCGAAGTTTTTCGCCTTTGTCCAAACTCACATTGCTGGATTATCAGAACAAATAATAAACTACAATAACCTAGTCTAAACATACGTTACACCATCTTCTCAATCCACTCCAAGCATTGAACATTCTGTGACCACAAACTTCGTTTGATCTAATTACACGGCGATAGTAAACGGTAGTATCTGTCTTTATTACCTTGTAGCATAGTTTGCTCGATAGTGCTAAGTACTCACATACATTCGTACTTAAAACCTTGAATTACTATTCAGAATATAACAAATCGCTAAGTTAAACTTGTGAGATATGTTGCTTTATCACCCAGATCTATCACTAACTTGCAAAATCCGATCTTACAGTGAAATCGAGAAACAAGTAAACAGTCTTCATAAGACTATTTACTTAAATCTAAGGTTATTTTGGTTATTATATCTATATTCCCATAACCGATTCTCTAAATTTTAATACATCTGTTTGGGAAGTTACAATAACCAACAATCTTCAGAAAGACGGAAAGAACAGTGAATCATTCTTTTCTCAATTTTTTAATAAATAAATAAAGAAGAACTTTCACTTTACTACCAGTCCATGAAAATCCCCCCACACAAACAATGGGCAGTGTGACCATTAAAGAACTCGATGTCTTTGGTCTGCTAATCAAGCTTGACAAAGGCAAATCCACTGGACCCAATGGACTGAATCCCAAGTTACTAAAGGAATTAGCTAACTTTGTTGCGAACCCTTTAGGTATATGTTTTAACCTATCCGTAACCCAGGGTCGTCTACCAAAAGACTAGAAGAACGCCATAGTAAGTCCTGTATTCAAAAAAGGTACAAAACATAAGCCTGAGAATTACCAACCAATTAGCCTAACTAGTGTGGTTGTTAGAATCTTAGAAAAGATTAATCGGAAGGAGCTGTTTAAGTATCTCGATGAAAACCGAATCCTCTCGGAGAAGCAGCATGGTTTTAGGACAGGTTAATCTTGTCTCACTAACTTCTTAGTCGCTCGTGAAAGCTGGTGCGCTCTTAAGGACCAAAAGTTACCTGTAGACGTAGCTTACATCGACTTCAGCAAAACTTTCGACAAAGTTCCGCATAACCGGCTGTTATATAAGCTAAGGAACGTCGGGATTGGAGGCAATCTATTGATGTGGATAAAAGACTTCCTAGTTAGGCGTCAACAAAGAGTAAGGGGAACTCCAAGTTGTCTATCTGGGAAACTGTGCTTAGTGGAGTCCCCCAGGGTACAGCTTTGGAGCTAGTGTTATTCCTTCTGTACGTAAATGACCTCCCGCGTCTACTATCGTCATCGGTCTTACTCTATGCTAATGATATCAAGATATGGGGAGCGATACAAAGCAAGGGCAATAGCTTAGAACTCCAAAATGACCTGGAGAGATTATCTGAATGGTCCCAAACCTGACAATTACCGATAAATACTTCCAAGTGTATTGTGATGCATATTGGCCACAAGGGTACAGATACATACACGATGACTTAGGAGTCATCGTTAGTCAAGACTTAAAGACTACTGCACACTGCCGTGCAATAACCGCCAAAGGTTTTAGAACTTTATGGTCCATACGCAGGGCTTTTAATCATCTCGACGCTAAAAAGTTTCTGACTTTGTATACAGTGTTCGTGCGTCCTAAACTTGAGTACTGCATACAAGCAGCTAACCTCTGCCTAAAGAAAGACAGTGAAGTTTTGGAAAGGGTTCAGAGAACAGAAACTAGTCTGATTACCGGAATAATGAAGCTCCCGTATGGTGCTAGACTGATCAAGCTAAACCTATTCCCGCTGTCATATAGAAGAATCAGAGGCGACTTCATTACAGTTTTCAAATTGCTTAGTGATAAATTTGCACCTGATATGCCCTCATTTTTCTTGTCTCCCAAAACAGAAAATTTACGAGGACACTCCAGAAAAGTTCACAAGCCCAGAACGAATTACTTGTCAGCCGACGACCGACTTTCCCATCGAATCATCAACGAATGGAACTCATTACCTCAGCACGTGGTTGAGGCTCCATCCGTCGACTCTTTCAAAAGAAAGTTGGACCGACTGACAGAACATCATTGCCAGGACTAACACAGGCCATCAAGCCTCCTGTCCTTTCCAAACTGAAACTGAAATAAATAAAGAAGAATTTTCACTTTACTACGACCACCAAATCGCTAAACCCATCAGGAACAAATGTTTATTATTTACTCGAAAGCTAAAATAAATATTCTGTGAAAAGAATCGTTACAAAAGTAATCTTGGTAATTACTCATCCAAAAGTAGATTTCCTTAACGTCTACAGAAGTTTCAGGTAAACTCAATGTTTATGTCTAAAAATTATCCCCATATTTGTTAGTGAAGGCTGCCAAATCGCACTCCGAGTATTGTAAACGAATCTGGGAAATGTGAGTCTGGATAATCTGCTACCAGTATAGCTTTTCGCCTCCAGAAACATCCCAACTATGTTCCTTGGAGGCATATGCAATCTGCGCGACGACTCATTTTCTTCCAGATTCAAAACTTCCCGCACTTTACATGTTATATTCTGAGCAGACTGTGAGGAATGATTAATTTACCTTAATATCTTCAAAATCGGTCACACCTAAATAAGGAAGTGTTGAAGAGTGGATATTAATCAGACTGCGACCATCAATCTGATTTTCAGTAAAGCATTCCTGTTGAAAATGCTTTAGGACGACACATATTTAACCTTGTACTGAGAATATCCAATATCTTCAATCCAAGAAGCAACTTGATTAACATCCCAAAATAATGCTTTTGGGAGTTGAGTGTTATTACATATTTCGGCGAAACTCATATCGAATTTCCGCCACTCATATCTACGGCTACATTCCAACATCCAATGTCTTTGCGATGATTTTGAACTGTTGTATCTAGTACTACTACACACCTAAATGGTTCACGCTGGATTTCGAACAGACTTCAACAATTCGTGCAGCATGTGACTATCAAGTCATTTCTACCTTCACTACACAACATTGTCCCATCGAGAAAAGCAGTGGTTGAGCATACTTAATACACGTCCCAACCACTTCAGTTGATGAAGATGTATTAACTCATAAATCGGTTTGCTATCCTTATCTAGTACCGTATTCCTGTGCCAGGTATTGCTAACCTCGTGGATCTAAGTTACACCAGCAAGAAAATATCCTAGTAAAAGATAAGTCCTTGAAATGTGAGACGATGACAGTGTCATCTCAACAAGAATGTGCATGACATAGTTGGAGGAATGTGAGGAGGAAGAATGATGTTGACAGACACCAATTGAAGCAACTAATTCCAATAACAGTTCATTATGAACTTTGACTCAACCTGTAGTGGAGTGCTTCATTAATCGATCGTCTCGATAACCGTTATTATATCAATCTGAACGGTGTATAATATCAGAAGACAAAGGGAAGCAGCAACCACATTTTTATTGACAAATAACATGGGCTAGAAAGCAGTGAGCACACTAGCAAATGTAAGTAAGCGAAGGAAAGATGACGCATAGTGGAGATGGCTGGGAAGCCAACTCGCTATGAGCAAGCATTAATCAACATTTATAGTCAGACAAAAATGAATGACAGACATGCGATGAATAAGATACGAAATGTGCATACACATGAGCTCATATAAAAAATATAGTCAAGGTCAATAAGCGAATAATTAACAAGATCAAAATATGACTCATAACATTATAGGTGAATTGGCTTGTCCAGAAACTAGAATAAGCTATGTAGGTGTAATATAGTACACGACGTTACACTACTCCCCACATAGCTCCCCCCAGAGTGTCCGGAGGAAACACTGGTATGCAAAATAAACAAGGGAGAGGTGATGTATATGCGTTCACAAAACAAAATTAAAGTAATAGCACATTAATTTGAAAATAACACTGAAATGGCATGTGGATAACGTCAAAATGTGGGGGAAAAATGGTACAATACCTGATAAATTACAATGTCAAGTGGGGTGAGCGTATTAAACGAAAGTGTCATACTTCTGTAAAAAATGTACAAGAATATTGTCAAAATGCGGACAAAAATCGTTATGCTAGCATGTGACTATGAGTACATTAGTAAGCGTACGAAAAAATTTAACATGCATTTATGTTGAGACTGTCCGGATGATAAAATAACACGTTTGTATGAGCAATTCGAAATATCGTGAAAATAGAATATAACAGTAATTGCTATGTGGTGCTGATTGAATATGAGGATGAAGAACAGTGAAATATTAATGTGTTCTGACAAGCCGCAGTAGAGTAAATAGCGTCAATTGGCGATGAGTGTATTCGAATTTACGTAACTGAAGTTTATGTGAGATAAAAATAATCTAGCCGTAGCATGATGGCTGCATCAATGAGTGATATTCGTGCTATACTGCTATTGATAATGATCATGAAATGCGAAGTCAGTGTGCGTTGTCGCTTGCGTTGGGTTATCGTTAAATATGTATTAGTAGAATGACCAGAGGAACAGGATAGTGACTGCTGAGACGAGATATGCGGAATTGTATTCCTTTTTGGTCATGAAGCCTAGTGTGGTTTGTGTAGTTAGAGGGATATGCGCTCGACCTCGTTTGTTACGAAACCGTATTAAGGCATGATAAAAATACCAATACATATGATTATCGATGACGGCGAGTGAGACTGACTTGGATGTGACGAACAAGAGTGTATCTTTGAGAGACTAGCTCTAAACTCTATGTTCTGGTGTGCAGTGCAATGGGAATAGAAAATTAATAGCAATAATTGAATAGTGTTTATAGGTAATGGATGATGCAGCATTCAGTTATACATGCGAATGAACAGATAATATGAACATAATCATTACTAATCGGCTGGTAATGCGGCGTCAAACACGACGGTTGCTGCGTACCAATGAGATGAATGGACATTAATTGCGTCGAGAACATAAGTTTCTACTACCGGGAGTATGACTCCAAACTTATGTCTATGATGGAGTGTAATACTAGACCGAAAACGACATGAAAAAAATTGGAAAGAACTCACTTGAATCAGGAATAATTTACGTCATTGTATAATAAAAATAATCCAGTGAGTTTCGAATATCATAACGTGTAATGTTCATATAATTATAATTTGTTCGATTAGTGAGTTGACAGCGTAAACATCCTAATTTACCGTCGTTACGAACAAAATTAATAATAATTCTACGTTAGATGATATGACATTATTGTATTAATGAGCATATGATGATTATTCGAATCATGACGGAATATGTCGTCGGCGGTTCAATTTTTGATTTGCGTTCGCTCGTCGCGGTCGCCAATTATGTTGCATGTTCCAAATACTGCCCAACAATTATGTTGCGTGTTTGCATGTAGGAATTACCAGTCATGTTGTGAGTTCGTACGTTGAGGTTGTCGATTATGTTGCGTGTTCGCTAGTCGGGCTAACCAATTTGTAGTGGAGTGCTTCATTAATCGATCGTCTCGATAACCGTTATTATATCAATCTGAACGGTGTATAATATCAGAAGACAAAGGGAAGCAGCAACCACATTTTTATTGACAAATAACATGGGCTAGAAGGCAGTGAGCACACTAGCAAATGTAAGTAAGCGAAGGAAAGATGACGCATAGTGGAGATGGCTGGGAAGCCAACTCTCTATAAGCAAGCATTAATCAACATTTATAGTCAGACAAAAATGAATGACAGACATGCGATGAATAAGATACGAAATGTGCATACACATGAGCTCATATAAAAAATATAGTCAAGGTCAATAAGCGAATAATTAACAAGATCAAAATATGACTCATAACATTATAGGTGAATTGGCTTGTCCAGAAACTAGAATAAGCTATGTAGGTGTAATATAGTACACGACGTTACACTACTCCCCACAAACCAATGGTGTTCGAGTAAAGAGATATTTTCACTAAGAGCCATATTTCTGTATCCGTTATCTTGATAAGTTTGAATAGATGTATACTGTTATCTATCTCTGCTGTCTTTTCCATCTCTTCTGCTCTCACTACGCACTACTGCTCACGATCACTACATAGGCTTTCGAGTAACCTACGTTGAAGCGGTCTCTGCTCTTCATCGTGTTCCAAGCCAGATGGTGTGAGTTTCCGAGGATCCTTCATTTCTCTAAATCCGTCACTATACATAAACTTCCTCGATCACTAAAATTCCTTTGGCAATATGAATGGAAGAACCTTGTGGAACCTTCTTCTACATTATTGTGTGCCTGAGGGGATTGTCAACATCATACGGAATTTATACGACGGACCACTCTGCAAAGTTATGCAAGGAGGACAGCTGATAGACGCATCCCATGTGAGGATGAGAGTCAGACAAGGCTGCCTACTGTCGCTTTTTCTTTCTTCTAGTGATCGACTGGTTTATGAAGACTTCTACATCTCAGGGAAAACACGGTATACGACGGACAGCTTGGATGTGGCTAGAAAACTTGGACTTCGCACATGACCTGGATATTCTATCTCATAAACACCAACAAACTCAGGTGAAAGCAACTAGTGTAGCAGCTGCCTCCGAAGCAGTTGGCCTCAACATATACAGGGGAAAATCAAGACCCTGAAATACAAAACAGAGAACACGAACACAATGACACTTCAAAGCGAAACTCCAGAACAGGTGGACACCTTCACGTACCTGGACAATATCGTCAATGAAAGAGGAAGATCAAATATAGAAGTAAACGCAAGAATTGGATAACCAAGGGAGTTAATGTGAGAAAAAAATGCATAGCCCAAGGATTGAAGAACTCGGTGCTCCATTATTGAAGACAGATACCAAAATCATACAAACTACTCTAAGGAGTAGTTCGGAGAACCCTGGTCAGTGGGCGATCCTCATCCTCGGAGTTTTAATGCGTAATTAAATGGGTAAGTCAGAATATAAATGGTCAAATGCCACCCCTTGCTCACAACCCGTTTTTATAATAAAAAGCAAAGAAAACTACTAATTTCCTCTGATTTTACTACTACAAGGAAGTAAATATTTATTTAACAAGCCTGAAAAATGTGTCAAACTTCGCTCGGAACGGGAAAATCTCAAAATAGTACATTATGATAAGTCAGGTACTTAAAGCTTCTCTGTGAAACTCTGAGAGGTTAGTGAATAAGATAAAGAGGGAATCGACAACTCCATAAGTGTAAATGACCTGTTTGATAAACAAGACAACCAAGCACAATGAGTAATTTTACAAGTGTGAAACAAAAATAATTTGACAGTCAAATCTAGTAGCTGCAGATACTTGTCAAGGACAACGGAGGCGCGTCGATGAACTAAATGCTATGAATAAGCTTATGTGGCAGTGATTCAGACTTACAATTCTGTAACCTGTTAATATTAATACCTTGCCTATCGAGAGCATTTATTCTAACCAGCTGCTTAACAAGTTGATTCACTTGATTATCATGATCCACGTCAAGTGACCTTGACGAAGGTCAGGCCACACTATTCCTACCTAATTAGAGTAGCCCTGGAGTCATCGACACAGATTCCCTACTTTGGCGTTCGATCGTTTTATTACATTGAGGTCTTACCAACAACATCATGGAATGGGCCCAAACACGAGAACGTTAAAAGCATGTAGAGTAATTTCCAGTTAACATTTTATACACATTATGTATACATATAGACAACAAAAATAAACTCGGTGATAACAAAACAATGAGTTCAATGTTGGAGAAAAAATAACAGCGAACACAAGTTATTGATCATTGAAATAGTGAAAATAGAAAATAATGAAAGTACATGACTAAATTGAATTGAACTCAAAGGATAATTCTGTAGGAACATCTTGAAATAGATTGATACAGATGATGAATGATCATTGATTAATGTAAATTTCAATCTTCTATAATAACATCAATTCTGTAGTTAGAAAATTATCTGCGCGATGTACCGCCAAAACCTTTAAGAGTAAAAAGGAAAGTGCGAAAAATTGAATAAGTATGCAGTTAAAGTGAGATTTTTGCAAATTTGAATAAACAAACTACTCTATACACACACAAAAACAATAAACAACATTAGTACATTACCCGATGATATATGAGTTTCCGGTGAAGGAGTTCGTGAACGACGATCATGTGTAAAATGTGTATTAGAAGAACTATAATGTGAATCTGAAAAACCAGTTCCACTTCGAACAAATGATTCTTCTTCAGTATAGACTGGAGTAGTTCGTGAATAACCACTACCAGGATTGGTATTTGATCTAGATCCCATAAAATAGCCTCCAAGAAATCCAGCACCTGCAGCCAGCCCATTAGATAACCATGAAGTAGACTGATCTTCTGATTTATTCCAATTCCATCGAGAACGTGACTGTGATGGACCCATAACATTTGATGTCCAACCGTATTCTGGAGGTGCTGATGGAGCTTGACGTCGTCTTGTAGAATTGTCTTCATGATCTGATGAAGGGAGAAAATTAATCCACGATACAATGAAAAAGTGTGTTCAGTATGTTTAGATACTAAAATATTCAACGACAATACTTGATAGCAAATATCAGTCAGTCACAGACAAGGCATAATAGAGCAGGAAAACGTCTATAAACTCCAGCTGTCATACTTGAAGTCACCACATACATTCAGAGACAGGAAGGAAGCAAGATGAGCGATAAGATGGAAGATTGGAAATATACTCATCGAAATGAGAGACGAGACAAAAGATACATCTTTATAGTGTACACAGATTTTCATGAAATCACATGAGTCTATACTCATACATCGATGACTAGTCTCACAATAGAATTTCCGAAGTTCTCTTGTAAAAACCATAACTTGGGTAAACAACTGAATAATGTTTGGAAACGTAACCAACCAATCGAAGTGCATATTTACAGAATTTAAGGTAAGAAGGTGAAGATGTACTGCTGACTGAAGAAGGATGTGACAGCAGTAAGGTTTACCCCTCAGACAACTAGCATGTGCAGCTATTCTGATTTCACAAACAGTGCAGCTAAGACCCCGAAAGCTTCCTATGGAAGGGCCACGCGCAAACAGCTGTCCTTTGAGTTGTGGGGTCAAGCTCTGAGACCACTATTAATTCAGCTCCCTAAAGGAGCAGCATCCCAGCACGTTGTAGGTAGACGCGAGGTGTCAACCGCTTTCATGCCTCTTTCACCACCTGAGATCATCCTGTTCACAACCAAGTGCCTGCCTCATCCATTAATTATTCTCCCATTCCCACTACTGACTCTTCTCTCATATCTTTATTACCCCGTGCCACCAATGCTAATCACGAAATGTTATTTCTGGTCTCCTGAAACCAGGCTCTAAACTGCATGTTGGAGCTTTTGACGTTTGAACCTTCAGTCGAATAGGACAACAGGTGTCCTAAGTCAAGACCCTAAAATCTCGTGCCATCGATGTATGCTGTGTCCTGAAAACGCGAATACATGATCCAGGTACGCTCATTCATTTGACCTCACCATGTCAATATAAAAAACAAGCACGATTTACCCTCCGAATAACTGGAGACCCCACTTCTACTTTCGTGGCCTCGCTGGTATAGGTACAGCATTAACTTCAAAAGCACGACAGGTTTTGCTAGACAGTCGCTTGTGTGCTGTCCGACGAAATGGGACAGTAAAAACTCGAAAAGATAGGGACACACGTTGTTGCCTTTTTGTTGTCTCTGCTTACGCTCCCGCTGATTGCAACTCGGACGAACTTAAAGATGAATGTTATAGGAAGCTATCCAACCTTCTTTAAAAAATGCTTTGACGAGGTGCTAGTAGAGGGTGATTTCAATCAGTCAGTCAGCTACAACGTAGGACCAGGCACATATATGCATCGGTCCAAGTTGCCATACCTCTTTAGCACAACAAGATGAACACCGGATTCATAGAAGCAATTAATTTAGTGATGGTAGTATATAAAGAAAGATTGTATAGAAGGATATAGTACAGGAAGGAAGAGAGATATGAAGCAATTTTAATCTCAAGGTTTAAGGGAAGATAAAGAGTGTATACACCTACGCCATTGTGATCGATTCTGAGCCATGTCACCTAGAGTCTCCAACCATTTATTACGATAGTCACGCGGACCCCAACCAGGTAGTCTGCCTCTGCCAACATGGCTCAGGCTAGAAGTTAGTGACTTCAAACACTGATGCCATGTTTTGGTTTGGCCGCCCCTAACTCTCTTCCAACCGTCCCCAATACTAGTCAGCATAGCGCGTCGTGGTAATCGGTGTTCAGGCATACGTAACACATGGCCCAACCATCTCAGTCGATGAAGATTTATCACCTCATCAACTGATTTACCATCGTTACCTAATACCCTGCGTCTAACCTCACTATTACTTACTCGGTGATCCCAGCAGATGCGAGCAATATTTCTAAGGCATCTGTGGTCAAATACTAGTAACCTACGAGTATTTTCTACTCTTAATGGCCATGTTTCGCAGCCGTAAAGTAGAACAGAGCGAACTGCTGCGCAGTATACTCGTCCCTTAATTGATAGACGGATATCTCGTCTTCGCCATAGGTGACGTAAGTTGGCAAAAGCCAAACGAGCTTTTTGAATCCGTGCTGAGATTTCGTCAGACACCAACCCATTAGGGCTGATCAGACTTCCAAGATAAGTGAAGTTGTCAACGCGTTCGACTACTTCACTCCCTATCCTTAGTTCGAGTGTTGACGCAGGCCAGTCCTGGAGTAACAATTTACATTTGGATGGGGAGAAACGCATCCCAAACATCCTGGCATTATTACTCAGTTCCAACAGAAGACTCTGCATTTTGCCAGAGTCTTCACCAAACAGGACTATGTCATCTGCGTATTCTAAGTCGCTTAGTGGTCCCCCTGGTAGGAGATCAATTCCTGTAAACTCAGTCGACGAGAGTGTCATTTGCAGCAACAGGTCTATAATGAAGTTAAACAAAAATGGGGATAGTGGACAGCCTTGACGGACACCACTTGAGGTTGTAAAATCATATGACAGTTCACCATAAGCTCTCACTCGACTGAGTGTTCGAGTAAAGAGCCTTCACAAGGTTTATGTACTTCTCAGGTACACCTTTCAATGACAGACACTGCCACGGAACCTCTCGGTCTACAGAGTCAAATGCTGCTTTCAAGTCAAGAAAACTATCATTGTCGGACGCCGATAAGCATGTCTGTGCTCTAAAACTTGACGAATGGTGAATATGTGGTCGATACAGCCACGACCAGGTCTGAAGCCAGCCTGATTTTCTCGTGTTTGCAGTTCACGAGTTTTAGTTAGGCGCCTGATAATTATTGAGGCTAGTATTTTAGATACTATGTTAGTCAGACTAATCCCTCTATGGTTATCACAGGATGATTTTGGCCCCTTCTTATATATTGGGACAATCAGTGATTGTGACCAGTCGGATGGGATTACATCCGTCTCCCAGATTTTAGCCAGAATATTAGTCAACCTAATCGCTAAAATTGGACCACCATATTTAAAGACCTCTGGAGCCAATCCATCAGGACCAGCTGCTCTTCCTCGTTTCAGATTACCTATAGCCTTTTGAACTTCAAGTAGGGTCGGGGGGCCTACTTCAATGTTCCATTCAGGTTTTCTAGGAATAGTGGGTAGTTGTGCAGTAGCTGAAGGCCAGCTAAACTGCTCCTTAAAGTGTTCCGCCCATCGTTCTAAACGTTTGGGTAGAGAGCAGATAAGGGTTCCATCTTTTTCCGAGATCGTCTCACTTACACTTGACTTCTTAATTCCAGTTTCTTTTATTAGTCTGAATAGTTGCCTGGTGTTGCCTACAGCCGCTGCCTTTTCCATCTCTTTTGCTTTCGTTGCCCACCACTGCTCACGATCGTTCCTTAGACTTTTAGTTAACCTAGATCTAATTTCTTTACGCTCTTCGTCATGTTCAGAGCCTGATGGTATGAGTTTACGCGAATCCATCAGTGAAATAGACCTAGAAGAAATCCACTGGTTTTTTGGAGCCCTATGGTATAAATGACTAATAGATGTTACTGCTGTCTCCACAGCTGTTCGTATGCCTTTCCAAGCAGCATCTGGGTCAGTCTCGTTTACAGAACTGCCTAGATGTGAACTCAGTTGTCTCTGGAATTCACATTTGGCTTTCTCGTCCTCCAGTTCAATCCTAACGGGTCTTCTTAGTTTACTTTTCCTGCGTCCATTGAGGCGCAGACAAATGCGTGCTCGTATTAAAGCGTGATCAGAGTCTAAACAAGTATTCCAATACGAGCGACAATCTTCTATTGAGCCTCTCCAACGATGACTGATGACAATATGGTCTATTTGAGTCCATCGTTGGTTTGGTGCAGGTGGTCGCCATGTTAGACGATGTCTCTCCTTATGTTTAAAATTAGTGCTTGCCAAAAATAAACGATTGTCTGAGCATAGTTGCAACAGACGATCACCATTATCGGTTCGTTGAGCCGGAATACTAAAACACCCACCTAGATGTCTTTCTGTTTGATTTAAGCTGCCTACCTGGGCATTAAAGTCACCCGCTACGACTACTATGTCTGAGCGCTTAGCTTTCTGAAGAAGCTCAGAGAGCTTTCTGTAAAAGTCATCTTTCACCTCATCATGGCTGCAGTCAGTGGGAGCGTAGGCAGAAACGACGAAAAGGCAACGACGTGTGTCCCTATCCTCCCGAGTTCTTACGGAGCCATTTAGCCGGACAGCACACAGGCGACTGTTAACGGGGATCCATTCTAGTAGTGCCTGTTCTGCCCTTGTACTTAGTGCTATGCCTACACCTGCAAGTCCGCGAGAACTAGCCAACGGGTCGCCAGATACACGGAGGGTGTATTTCGTTGGCTGTCCATTTTGGCGAGGTGAGGTCAGGTGAATGACCACACTAGGATCCTGTATGCGTGTTTCGGAGACACAGCATACATCAATGGTACGCGACTCTAAGGTTTTAGCTAAGGAGGCCTGTTGACCGATTTGACTTAAAGTACGTACGTTGAAGGCTCCAATGTGTAGTTTGGAGCGAGGTTTTAGTAGACCTGGGACAGCGTTTCGCGCACTAGAATCGTTGGCCATGGTGACACTTGAGGAGGAAACCGAGAGAGGAAGTTTAGTGTTGAAAGTCAAGGTAGTAGGAATTGAAGAAGGAGATTGATTATGAATACAGTGGTCTTGAGTGTTGTTAGAGGTATGAGAGCAGTTATCACTTCCCGGTTGCCCACACCGTGGAAGGATTCTTCTAGAGGTACCTGAAAAGGAAATTGGGTTAGAAGTGGTCTTAATGACCGGAGAGCGTGACCGCAGTGCCCAAGGGACAACTGCTTGAGGTCGGTCACACACGACCTTTTTGTGGGTAGTTTTTGTGTTAGCTCCGTTCTTCAAAAAAAACCTTACCGCCGGAGACGGATATCCGTGGGATAAGGCGAGGTGTGCATTTTTAGGGTCGACCTTTTCTAACCCCACCCCTCCTTGTGGGAAGGCAGCATCGCTGTCATGCTGGTTGTCTGAAGGAAACACCTTACTGCTTTCACACCTCTGTACAGTCAGCAGTACGACTTCGCCTTCGGACCTTGGGTTTGCTGCTTTTAGTCTCACCGCTCTTCAATCGACCTGTCGGGCATGGTGGGACCTCGAGGAACGATTGTTCCAGCCAGCATAGCTCGATTGCTTCATCACGATAGGCAAGCCCGACCACCACGTCAAGGTAGCAGCAACGGTCGGGGGTGATTTCAATGCTCAAGTAGGTAAGCTAAACCAAACTGAAAGGCACTTAGGAAGATTAACGGAGCCGTGGTTCGGCGAAAAGACAATGACGACCGTCTGCTGCAGTTAAGCCGTGATAATGTTTATTTCTAGCAAACACCCAATTTAAACATAACAGGAAACAATGCCTAAAGTTGAGGCCATAGTTGGAGAGACTGTCGCTCACTCTGGGGTACATGTCTAAACTCAGATCATGATCTGGTTTCACCATGTATTTTTCTTCATCCTACAGAGGGATGTGGAAAAGCTATAGCAAGAAAACCCCTTGGATCTCAACTTAACGATGAGGACGTCAAGAATATATTTCAGGAATAACTAGAGAAAAAGCTGGTCAACCGTGAAAATGATACTGTATCCAAAAATTTGTGGAGACAGCAGTTATATCCACTAGCGACTTAAACTAAAAGATTAAGAAAACTCAGTGGATTTAAGCGGAATTTACAGAAACGATAAACCCTCGGAAACTAACACTATTTGGCTCGGGACACGATGAGGAGCAGAGACAGCTTCAACGTAGGTTACCTGAAAGCCTATGTAGTGATCGTGAGCAGTAGTGCGTAGTGAGAGCAGAAGAGATGGAAAAGACAGCAGAGATAGGTAACAGTATACATCTATTCAACCTTATCAAGATAACGGATACAGAAATATGGCTCTTAGTGAAAATATCTCTTTACTCGAACATCATTGGTTGAGTCAAAGTTCATAATGAGCTGTTATTGGAATTAGTTTCTTCAAGTGGTGTATGTCAACATCGTTCGTCCTCCTCACATTTATCCAACTATGTCATACACATTCTTTTTGAGATGACACTGTCATCGTCTCACATTTCAAGGACTTATCTTTTACTAGGAGACCCTCTTGTTGACTCAGAACATGCAGATGGTATAGTTCAGTTTGGTGAAGACAATGATAAAATACATTCCAATTACTTTATACAACGATGCAAGCATGTTTGGAATGCAATTCAACCCTCCAAGTGCAAAATAATGCCTTGAAAAAACAGACTTCGGTCAACACCCAGATTAATAATAGGATGTGCATTAGTTGAACCCTACGGCCGCTCCATTCATATTGGGAACCTCGTCAGTCTAGGTGGTTTTTTTAATTTATTTAATCACATATATTGGTACAAAGGGCACCGGATACATATGCGCCACACAAAATAATGAGAATGGGAGAAGGAAGAAGATGCGTATTTATAAAAGAAGGAAAAAAAGAAAAGGAGAAGAGTAGTGATGGGGGGAATTGAATGTACAACCAGAAGAGCTCTCTCAGTTAGGATAGTTATAGCCACTCTTTATGAAGAAAGTAGAAGGTTACAGCAGGACCGCCATTGGCTTCTATTCTGGGCCATATCTGATAACGTCTCTAGCCACTGTGTTGTACCATCTCTCGGACCCCAGCCAGGGAGTCGTGAAGGACCAACAGAAGCTAGCCCCTTGCAGCTCTCTTTCATGCCACGACACCATGTCATACACTGACCTCCTCAGTCTAGGTGGTTTGGTGTCTGACAAGCTATCTGCACGGATTCAGAACTCTCAAATAAATTCTTTCAGTTCGCGTCACTAGTGGTATAGGCAAGATATCCGTCTAGCGATCAAAAGACGAGCTTACTCCTCATCCTACTTCACGAGTGCAAAACATGAGAAAGAAGAACAGATGATATTCGTAATTTACTGGTATTCCACTAAAAGTGACTAAGAGCATTGCTGGTGTAACTTAGAACCACGAAGTAAGCAATACCTGGGACAAGAATACGGTACTAGATAAGGATAGCAATTTGATTTGTGAATTGATAAATCTTCATTAACTGAAGTAGTTGGGACATATATTACGTATGCTCAACCACTGCTTTTCTCGATGGGACAATGATGTCTGATGTATGGGTCGGCTGAAAGGAAGCTAGAGAAGCCAAAACCGAAACATGGCATCGGTCTATGAAATCATCGACAATTAGACTTAGCCATGTCAATAGGTGTTTACTACCTGGTTGTGGTCAGGGTGATTATCGTAAACAATGGTTCAGGACTTTGAATGGCATCGCTCAACATCGTTTGCAATGGCTCATCTGCATCCATACTTTGTCTTCCTCCAAATTCTGAACTTCGGAATTCCTCAAAACCGTCTTTTGTTTTTTATTTTGCTAATTTACATTTTCTTCCTGAATCGCATATTCGATGCCTAATCTTTCTTATTACCACTGACGCTGTTACTATCTCCTCCATTCTGACATTTGATCTGATAATTTCATCTGTCTGCGCTAATGGGTTATGAAAACTAGAACTGTCTCCACCTGCCTACACGGGTCAGTTAAACAATCACTGTTTTCATGGACTTCAGATTATATCTTAGTTTGGTCACTAATAATTTCCTTCCAACAGTTCCGCGTCAGCCATTATCGCGCGTCGATGTAATCGGTGGATGGACACATGTAATACAGATCCTAGCCATATCAGTTGATAAACATTCATTGACTCACCAACGGATTTACTATCATTACCCAATACTCTGTCTAACCTTAGAGTTTTTAACTTCGTGATTTCAAAATATACAAGCAATGCTTCAAAGATACCTATGGTGAAATAATAATAGGCTATGAATATCCTCTATTTTTAAATATCACATTTAGCAACCGTAAGATAGTGATCTAATGCACAGTAAACTTGTCATTTAGTTGGTAGATTGATATTCCAACTACGCTACAAGTGGCCTAAGCTGAAAAACACCAATAAAACTCTCTGAATTGGTACTAAGATTTTATCAGGCACCAAAACATTATGAGTGGTGAGAACTTCCAGCACTAATAGGTTGATGTCAAAGACTTTTAAAACTGAGCAAAATAACTAATAAGTATTTTGTAATTTATTGATGTTACCAACTCTATATGTTTATTTATAACAATAAAAGTTGGCAAAAAGATCTAACCAACAAACTAACTAATTTAATTCATCATGGAACTTACCATTGAAAATTGTCTCATCATAAGTTGGAGGTGGTGGTCGTTGTTGTGACTGTGAAAAATCAAATCCAGTTGGTGGGATATAGTCGCATGGAAATGTAGGTCTAATGGTATCATGTACATTGAAGACAGAAAAGGAAAAACGGCATGATTATAATAAGTCTTTATTGACAATATAACTCAACGTATCCGAACTTTCATTGTCATTCATATTACTTTATGTAATTATTTATTTATTTGAACACATAAACATTGATACAAGGGGGCATCAAATACGTATGCGACACACAATAACGATGGTTAGTTATCATTGACTTGTGTGAGGGTTGTAGTACTGCATGAGTGCGCCTAACCGAGCCAGTGATTTTCTTAGGGGGACACTTCCCGAGCTTTTGACTCGAAGGTCTAGTCCACAAGGCAGTGGAGCATCGTGAGGGGATTCACTCCGATGGTAGCCAGTGACCAACGATTGATTAATACGCCAATTGCTCCTTCAGAATCCTGGAGCCCATGTATACCATTGGTTTGGAATTAAGGTTTTCCTACCCCCCTAGGTCAATCCTCCGTGTACACCAACCCGGTTAAAGCGCCGGAGATTCACTTCTTGCCTTCTCAATTTCGTAAGGAAGGTAATGAGTAGGACTTCCCTGGCAGTGGCTGTATACGCGTGGCCATTTGAGAGCATTTCAAGAGGGTGAGTGTACTATCCCTACTCTCGGCCGTATAAGGGCATTTGGGGACCATTTAATAAGTACAATCATAATACATTATTTTTACAAGAATAAACACATAAATTGGGTTATTAAACCATCAACATTAAAAAGAATTAATAATCTATTACCTAATACAAAAATACCATAACATAGCAGCTACTACAATCAATCCAATAATTATAAAGTAACCAGAATTATTTTGTGCATGTGTATAGATCTTTTCAAATATTCTAAAAAGAAATATGTAGAAAAAGAAAACCTTAAGTATACAGGAAAAAAGGGGAACTAAGTGTCAAACTAGTCAACCTTATTTATTTATTTAAACACATAAATATTGGCACAAGGAAGCACCAAATACATATGCGCCGAGCAAATTTCACTCGATTTGCGTGAGGGCTGTGATACTGACCAGGTACCCAAACTGAAGCAGGTGGTTTTCTTAGGGGACCACACTCGGAGCCTTTGACTTAAAGATCTGATCCACAAGGCAGTGGAGCAATGTAAGGAGATGCAGTCCCATGGTAGCCGGTAACCAATAATTAGTTCATACGCCATTTGTTCCATCAACATCCTGGAGCCCACGTGCATCATTAGTTTGGAATCAGGGTTTTCCAACTCACCTAGGTGGACTTTCCGTGACCGCCAACCCGGTTACGGTGCGGGACATTCGCTTTTCGTTCTCTCAATTTCGTAAACAACACGCCCGCACGAGAAGACAGTGAGTAGGACCTTTCTGGCAAAGGCTATATACGTGTGACCATGTGAAAGCATTTCGAGAGGGAGAGCGCACTCTCTCCACTATCGACCGTACCAGGGCATTTGGAGGCATTAAATTATAGTCATATGCATACATGAAATTCTAAGTATTCATTCTGTGAGAACATATTAACAATGAATAAACACGACGATGTAATAAAAAGGTTTTAATGCTACACTATGTAGTGTAAACAATAGATATAAAAGATTGTTTATGTACGTAAAAAGCCCTGTATAAATAGTGAGTAAACAATTTCTTATGATGTAAGTGAAATAAGATAATAGAAATTTATTCGTGACAACAATTAAAGGTAAAAGAGAGATTAAATGAAAATAAACTGGTAGCAGGAACAATGATTAATAAAAGCATGGGGATATGAGGAATAATTAAAGAGAGGAATATTTACAAATTTGAAATCAATAAGACATAATTTGAATAAATTAATAATGGTTTAAGGCCATGGTAAGATAACAATGAGAAACACCTCGCCTGCATGCATAGTCCCGGCTTTGTTTTACGGATGACAAAATCGTCTGTTGGTTCATGAAGTTGAATATGAAGAAATCTTAGTAGATTTGCACAAATTCTATAAACAACTTTAAAGTCAACCTGTGGATCAATTTAGTGATTAGAATTGATCCAATATTCAAGAACAGACTTATGTTGATTAAACCAGATATTCTGGCTTATTGCCTTGCACTATTTAAAATATCTTTTAATTTACTCTGAAGAAGCGACTTACACTAAATCAAGAAACATCACAAATTCTAATTTCCACTAATTGTAATATCACAAATATGTCAGTATTCTATGATTGTAATTATCAATTCTAAACTTATCAATGATACATACCTGTGATATCTTTTCTTCCGAGTAGAGCTTCGTACATTTAATTCGTATTCCAGCTTTTAAAAAAAATAGAAAGACATAAATGTTGGCAGATTTAGTTGAACTTTAATTGTCAAGGATTTCAAGACACGATAAATGGCTTCTAATAAAGCCACTTTTTTCTCCAAAACTCTTATAACAACGATGTAGTTTATCTCGTTACACCATCACAAGTACGTAGCATTATGGTTAATAGGATATACGACTAATTCTTACCAACAATTTGCACATAAATACTGTGGAAGAATTCAAATAAATTATCTCATTCCGAATCATTACACTAATAAACTAATGTGGTCAAAAATACAAAAGTAGAACTTTGATAATGCAATGAGAAGACGAAGTTTATCACAATTATGTGATATATTTGAGCAATACATTTCGAACAATCTGATCACACTAATACTTGTTAAGACATTTTCATATCAAAACTAAAAGGTCAACTAGACAGGTTAAGGTGAGAAAATAAATTAAGTACACAAAAACAATGTGATGACTACACTGGATAATAAATCAGCATTACCAGGGTAGGTTAAGGGTAAGAACAAAGTGTTTTTGAACACATAAAGGGGGTTTCAATTTCCGTATAGCCAATACTTCAATAAACCTTAGTACGCATCCAAGAACTATTACCCTGATTCTGATTGGTTCGTCCATAAATTATAGTCTCGCCACTAACACTTCAACAACTATATATCTAATAGAACACTAAGACTGTGTAACAAAAAATTGGATGACTAATCCGATTGTCTTAAAATCATCAACACAACCAAAAATTGGAATGAAAGTTACTTTAAGCCGAAAAAACGTTTTTCCGAGCCTGTAGTTAGATGAAGTAGGTAACAAAACATTTGATCTGGGGAGACAAAAGTATTAAAATACTTACAGCGCACGAGCCATAAACAATATACTCGTCCTCTGGATAGTCGTAGCCTTCGCAATTAACGTTCACGGCCCCAAAGGATACACTCTTATCTAGTTCAGCTTTGCATTCCCACTGAACATCACGACCATCGAATCCGCGATTATAACACTGGACAACATTGGGATAGTACTGAGGGTGCTTGAAACCACTTCCACCAACACATTTAAGCTGTGAAAATATCCAAGAAACACCACAGCTTACCTGGGGTAATCTATATCCTTTTCTCGACTGGGCAAATTTATCATGATACAAAGTTATGACGTCTACATCTCGAAGTAATACGCGATGCGACCTAGCTAAACCAGCGAAAACTGAATAGACTATGTAATCATACCTTCACTAAAACAAAGGCACACAGAAACAAGGACCAACGGCAACAACATCCAGAAGACTGAAAATGACGTGTAGTAACTTCTGCGCGCAGACTTGTCCCTGAAATTTACTGGACTTAAAGACGATCATTCAAAATCAAATTGTTCAAGTTATTACTTTTAGAAGATTTCACGTCCTTTCCGAATCTAACAGCTTCTCTTTCATGCTTAACCGACCTAACATTTGATTGTAGACGCTAGTTGACTGACGGATCATCTAATGGGTTCTACATCAACTTGTATGCAACTCATGGAGGGTGTGTTGAAACCTTCTGATGTGAGCATCTGATCAAGTCATAACTATGATATTGGCGGAAGGAAATAGAATACATGTTTTTTCACATGTAAGCATCTGTCGGAAAACTATTTGTTCCTTCAGTCAGATACTTAATGCTGTTCACACCAGCACAGCACTAGCTGGACCACTGATACATAGCCAATCCAAAATCACTTGGCGTTATAATCCTGATACGACCGCCGATATTTATATCCGCTTTTCGTTTCACTTTAAGTCTCTTATCGTGTTTCAAGCCTAACCACACCAAACATGCTCTCTTCATTTTTTCGTAAACATCTGAAAAGGATCAGATTTTATTTAAAAGTGTGGTCTACTGTTCCAACTTGAAATAAATGTTCCCAAAAAAATGCCATTTTGCCCCCTATGCAACGTGCATAGGGCCGCGATGTTAACGGTTTCCTTTTATTCTGCACCAAGACCCCTTCAGTTTCACCTTTTATCGTCCCTGCCGTCGCTGCTACCATGACGAGGTGGTTGAACTTGCCTATCATAATGAACTAATCGAGCTATACTGGCTGAATCAATCGTTCCTCAAAGTCCTACCATGCCCGACAGGTCGGTTGAAGAGCGGTAAGACTAAAAGCAGCAAACCCAAGGTCCGAAGGGGAAGTCGTACTTCTGACTGTACAGAGGTGTAACGGCAGTAAGGTATTTCTTTCAGACAACTAGCATAACAGCAATGCTGCCTACCCACAAGGAGGGGTGGGGTTAGAAAAGGTCGACCCTAAAAATGCACACCAAGCCTTATTCCACACATATCCGTCTCCGGCGGTACGGCACCAACAAGAACGGAGCTAATACAAAAGTTACTACCAAATGGGTCGTGTGTGACCGACCTCGAGCAGTCGATCCTTGGGCACTGTGGCCACGCTCTCAGGCCACTAAGACCATGCCTAACTCAACTTCATTTTCAGGTACCTCTAGAAGAACCCTTCCACGGTGAGGGCAACCGGGAAGTGATAACTGCCCTCATACCTTTAACAGCACTCAAGATCACTGTATTCATAATCAGTCTCCTTCTTTAGTTCATATTATTCCTCGTACTTCGACTTTCAACACTAAACTTCCTCTTTCGGCTTCCTCCTCAAGTGACACCATGACCAACGATTCTAATGCGCAAAACACTGTCCCAGGTCTAATGAAACCCCGATCCAAACTACACTTTGTAGCCCTCAACGTACGCACCCTGTGTCCAATCGGCCAGCAGGCTTCCTTGGCTAAAAACCTAGATTCTCGTACCATTGATGTATGCTGTGTCTCCGAGACACTCATACAGAATCCCAGTGTGGTCATTCACTTGACCTCACCTCGTCTAAATGGACATTCGATGAGATATACCCTCCGTTTATCTGGTGACCCTATGACTAGTTCTCGTGGACTTGCAGGTGTAGGCGTAGCACTTAGTACAAGGGCAGAACGAGCACTACTAGAATGGATCCTCCTTAACAGTCGCCCATGTGCTATCCACCTAAATGGCTCTGTAAGAACCGGGAAGGATAGGGACACACATCGTTGCCGTTTCGTCCTTTCTGACTACGCTCCCTGCCATGATGAAGTGAGAGATGACTTTTACAGAAAGCTCACTGAACCTCAAAAAGCTAAGCGCTAAGACATTATACTCGTTGCAGGTGACTTTAATGCCCAAGTAGACAGCTTAAACCAAACAGAAAGACATTTAGGTGAGTATTTTAGTATCCCGACTCAGCGAACAGATAATAGTGACTGCCTGTTGCAACTGTGTTCAGAAAATCCTTTATTTTTAGCGAGCACTAATTTTAAACATAAGGAGAGACATCATCGGACACGGCTACCACCTGCACCGAACCACAGATGGACTCAGATAGATCATAGTGCCATCAGTTATCGTTCGAGAGGCTCGGTAGAAGACTGCCGCTGGTTCTGGAATACATGTTCAGACTCCGATCATGCCCTAATACGAGCACGCATTTGTCTGCGCCTCACTGGACGCAGAAAACCATGCTAAGAATTTATTTATTTATTTAAACACATAAATATTGGTACAAAAAAGCACCAGATAAATATGCGCCTCACAAATCTCATTTGGTTTGTGTGAGGGCTGTGATACTGACCAGGTACCCAGACTGAAGCAGGCGGCTTTCTTAGGGGGCCACACCCCGAGCCTTTGACCTAAAGGTCTGATCCACAAGACAGTGGAGCATCGTGAGGAGATGCAGTCCTATGGTAGCCGGTGACCAACAATAGGTTCATACGCCATTCGTTCCATCAGGATCCTGGAGCCCATGTGCACCATGCTAAGAAGGCCCATTAGAATTGAACTGAGGGACGAGAAAGCTAAAAGTAAGTTCCAGAAACAACTGAGTTCACATCTAGGCAGTTCTGTAAACGCGGCTGACCCAGATGATGTTTGGAAAGATACAAGAACAACTTTGGAACCAACATTAACATTTATTAGTAATTTAAAACACATGGTTCCAAAAAGCCAATAGATTGCTTTTAAGTCTATTGCACTGATGAATTCTCGTAAACTCATCCCATCAGGCTCTGAGCACGACGAAGAGCGAAAACAAATCAGATCTTGGTTAACCATAAGTCTACGGAACGATCGTGAGCAGTGATGGGCAACGAAAGCAAAAGAAATGGAAAAGGCAGCAGCTGCAGGCAACACCAGGCAACTCTTCCATCTAATAAAAGAAACCGGAATTAAGAAGTCAAGTGTAAGTGAGACAATCTCAAATTTTAAATTTTAAATTTATTATTAGCTTTATTCAATATTATATTTTTGGTACAATATAGAATTCTCAGCACAAAGTACTTCAACAGGTTTCCTTTTCTTACTTCTTCGTCCTTCCTGACGATAAATATTGAGTGATCGCCAGTTAGAAGTTAGCAACCCAGTCAATCGACATTTGGATAATGTACATTCTTCTCGCTGCACATTTACAGCAACCACGATATCTCTGATTGGGCTTTCTGTAACCTTTACAGCGTTAGGTCTTACACTTTTCAGAAACGCACCTGAATAGGTTGTGCGATTAATAAGCATAATGATGTATTAAAACAAACGAAATTAAATAACTTGTTGAAATATCTAGATGACAGGAACAGGTAGCCCAGATGTTTGAACAGGCCGCCAAAAAGAACAAAACTCTTATCCGTTCTCAGCCCAGATGTTTAGAACGATTGATAGAACACTTCAGAGAACAGTCTAGCTTGCCTTCATCTACTGTACAGTTGTCCACCATTACCAAACAGTCTGAATGGAACATTGAAGTAGGTCCTCCAAATCTAGCTGAAGTTCAAACGGATATAGCTAATCTGAAACGAGTAAGAGCAGCTGGTCAGGATGGATTGGCCTCAGAGGTCTTGAATATGGTGGTCCAATTTTAACGATCAGGTTGACTATTATTTTAGCTAAAACCTGAGAGTTGGAAGCAATTTCATCCGACTGATCATAATCACTGATTGTCCCAATATATAAGAAGGGGTCAAAATCATCCTGTAATAACCATAGAGGGATTAGTTTGACTGATATACCATCTAAAATACTAATCTCAATAATTATCGGGCGCCTAACTAAGACTCGTGAACTGCAAACACAACAAATTCAAGCTGGCTTCAGGCCTGATCGTGGCTGTATGGGTCACATATTCACCATTCGTCAAATTTTAGAGCAGAAGTATGCTTATCGGCGTCCGACAACGTTAATTTTTTTTACTTAAAAGCAGCATTTGACTCTGTAGACCGAGAGGTTCTGTGGCATTGTCTGTCATTAAAAGGTGTACCTCAGAAGTACATAAACCTTGTGAAGGCTCTTTAATCGAACACTACCAGTCGAGTGAGAGCTTATGGCTAACTGCCATATGATTTTACAACCTCAAGTGGTGTCCGACAAGGCTGTCAACTATCTCCATTTTGTTTAACTTCATTATAGACTTATTGCTGGAAATAACATTCCCTTCGACTGAATTTTCAGGAATTGATCTCCTAACAGGGGGTCCACATATCGACTTAAAACACGCAGATGCCATAGTCCTATTTGGTGAAGACACTGATAAAATGCAAAATCTACTGTTAGCACTGAGTGACAATGCAAGGATATTTGGAATGCTTTTCTCCCCTCTAAATGTAAATTGTTACTCCAGGACTGACCTGCGTCAGCACCTGAACTAAGGATAGGAACGTATGCCTGAACACAAATTATCACGACGCTCAATGCTGAACAGTATTGGCGATGGTTGGAAGAGAGTTAGGGGCGGCCAAACCGAAACATGGCATCAGTCCTTGAAGTCACTAACCTCTAGTCCGAGCCATGTTGGTAGATGCAGACTACTTGGTTGGGGTCCACGTGACTACCAAAACCAATGGTTGGAGACTGTATGACATGGCTCAGAATCTATCGCAATGACATAGATTTATACACTCTCTATCTTTCCTTAGACTATGAGATCAAAATTGCTTTATATCTTCCTTTCTTCCTGTACTATATCCTTATATACAACTTTTCTTCCATATATTACCACCACTAAATTAACTACTTCTATGAATTTGGTGTTCATCTTGTTGTGCTAATGAAGTATGGAAACTTGGACCGATGCATATATGTGCCTGGGCATACTTTGTAGCTGACTGACTGACATTTCGTCATCGCAAAAGCCTTGCTAAATAAATAGATTCAGTTAGCACCGAGTTCCAAACTTGCCAGATATGTAAGCAGTGTCCTCTTATTGGATTAAATGGTCTATGAGAACTAGATACAGTAATAATTTCAACCTGTGCACGCGACGTAAAGAATAGAACCACGAAATAAAAACAGCTAAGCAGCAATATGTCCATTTCTTTTATCA